GCATGCCCCGCCGTCGCATTTCAAAAATCGAATAAGAATTAATCCTTTTCAGTGTTGATGAAAATTGCTCCTGTCAGCAAATTGAAATGATCGTATCAGCAAACAATCAACATTGCGCGAGACGCAGTAATGCCCTCGTGGTCCGTGACTAACACTGCCATGAGAATGTGATGATTAGTTGCATGGTCGCATGATGCTGTGTTGACACATTGCCATTTTCTGTTAATTAATACTTTGCTTATGCTAATATCTTGGTTAACTCAAGTCCGACTTGATCGAACATGTGTTCATTCTAAACTTGATTCAGATTAAGCGAAGTACAATGGTATTTGCTAAAGTTATAAACTTTAATTAAAACTACATGTAATCATCTAAAATTTAAGAACTGATTACGAAAACAACCGATGTTACTGTATTCAATAACATACGTGCAGACTTATATAGCCTGATTGCATTATGAACAATAAAATATATTCATTGTTACTTATAGAAATGCAACAGTAAATTTTTTTACAAAATCAATTGTGCCAAATTAGAATGGTTAAATGAAAGTGATTTTACTTTACATTATAAAACGGTCCAATTTCTTTAGTTGTATTTGCAAATAAATTGCAATTGTTCGCTATTAATTTTTAATCTCAATTGTGCACTTAAAAATTCACATTGCTATTGTGTACTTAAAAATTCCATTATGAATGTTAGAAAGCGTATTAAAATGTTCGGGATTCTTTTACAGAAAAGTTGTCCTGAATGCGAGTGGCGGAAGCTTTGTGCCACATGTACCCATTAATTCAACCATGCATGTACCGCTCTGCGAAGCCGGTCACTTGGTCGCATCGCTTGAAGCACTCGAACTGGTGAGTGCATTGTTCTTTGAGCTACTAAAAAACTAATTATATAGAGTAGAAGTGTCGGCGTTGAAGAAATAGGCCCATGGCCTGTTGCCGATTCTTGTACTTTTCGTGACTTGATTCACAAGGGATCCGGCCTTTGGAACCCGATCTTTCCATAGCTGACGATTGATTGAGATAGCTGCTGGACTTATTGCCTGATCCGTAATTTGTGAGGCATTTTAAGACTAAACATGTGCTCCTGCATAGCTTCGTCTAGTCTGTTACCACGTTTTTTACCACGTTTTTCTTGACTTCGTTTCGTGTCCGTCTGTCATCGAAAATTCAAACCTTAATTTAGAGCACTTCTAAACATCCTAGTAAGTTGAAATTTGGCATGCATGCTTATGCTGCCTAACAATTCAAGATTTGATCATCAGAAGTAATAACTAAAAAAATTATTTTTGTGAAAAAAAAGTGGAAAAAAGTTAAAGCTTCACGTTTGGGAATCGAGTTTTTTGTCGAACATCCAGACTTGCCAACCCTAGAAATTGATTTGAATTGCTAAAATTGCTAAACTAAAAAGTAGAAAATAAATAAATTTAGAAAACCATTTTTTAAAAAACACGTTTTTCTAGTTTTTACAAAACTAAAATGATGAAATAAAACAAATAAATAAACTTTTAAAAGACAAGTTTTCTTAACGGACAAAAAAGAAAAAAACATTTACTCTTACATAACATTGCGTAACATTTTACATAACTTTAATGTTATGTAAGAGTAAATGTTTTTCTTTTTTGTCCGTGAATCGTGGTTTTTAAAAGTTTTTTATTTGTTTTATTTTTGAAGGCGTTCATACTCGGAGCGTCAATATGATCTCAAAGCAGAAGGAACGGTAAAAGTCGTGCTTGAGAATACGTCCTCAATTGCGGTTTAACCCTATAAGTAGAGCTGGGCAGCGCTACTTTGAAATGTAGCGGCGCTACCGCTACCGCTACATGCTCTAAATGTAGCGGGCGCTACCGCTACCGCTACATGCTCTAAATGTAGCGGGCGCTACCGCTACCGCTACATGCTCTAAATGTAGCGGGCGCTACCGCTACACCCACTAGCTTGAAGCGAGCGCTACCGCTACCGCTACAGTAAAATGTAGCGCTGCTACATTAGCCGCTACAATGGCCAAAAGTATTTTAAATCTCTAAATATTTATTGTTCTGCTATTCATAAACATTTAATGATAATAAAACATTTTCAAAACATATCAATGCAACTTTATTGCAATTAACCTAACCGAACTAGTACGGGTTAGATACAGCAAATAAAAGTTACAGTTATTTTTATGTTTTACCTTCCCTACATGGAAGTGTACTTTAATCTACCAATCTAAAAAATTATCCACATATACATATAAAAATCAGTCTTTTATTTGTATATATATGTGGATTATTTTTGAGATTGGTAGATTAAAGTAGACATCCATGTAGGGAAAGTGAAACATAAAAATAACTGTAAGCAAAGTGAAACATGAAAAAGTACCTGTAAGTGGTAACTGGTAACACCTTAACAAGTAACACTAACAACTAACAAGTTGACACTAGTAACAGCATGGTTGAATTAATACATGAATTAATTCAACCATGAGTAACAGGCTGAGGTTGACAACATTACACCGAAATCTTTCGTACAGTTTTATTCTGTAATTTATGTTATGTATGTATCATGCTGGTTTTTAAATAATATTTAATACTATTAAGTAGAATCTAAAGGCTTTATCCACGGTTGAATTAATACAAGGTTGACCCACGGCGACGACGATTTTTTCGCCGTTCTGCGCATGTCTCCTGTGACGTCAACGTGGGCCAATAATGTAAACAGTGGAGATCAACACGTTGTTTTTGTGCCATATTTGAAATGATATTTAAAAAAATTGACCTCCTCAAAATGACACAAAAACCTGCATTTGCTGCAACAAGTGTTACTTTAAGCAAAGCCGGTGTTACAAATCCGTTTCGTGGAGTGTAAACTAAATAAATGGGAATTTGGGAAACATGATGGGCCGACAGACAAGGGCAGAAAGGAGTAATGGCGGCCACTCAGCTAACGGTCGAGGAAAGGAAGCACAATTCAAACGAAATTTTATTTTCGTAAGCTAACGAAGAATATGCTTTGCTATATATTGTTTTAATGTTGTAATTTGGTTAATTTCTTACTTGTCATGTTGTTCTGAAAATTGTATCTCCGACTCTCAATATTGTTGTATCTGTCTTAAGCGTCATGCGGTGCAGCGGTAGGCTAGGTATGAAACATTTTTGGTGCCAGGTGCTGTAATATAATAATATTTCTAGGAGGGTAATGGAATACTGACGAAAGATTTATGTGAAAAAACTCGAGTTTTTGATTGATTGATCGTAGAATAATGAGATCATACATGCAATAAATATTTCCCATGTGCTGAATTTATTAGTGGGAGGTGACAGTGGCAGCCTGGCAGGCTGAGTCAGTGAGTGCAAGTACTGAAGTAGCCTAGCGTCCTAGCAGCTGTACAGCCTGTACTGTGTAGTTATGTAGATTGTAGACTGTGGAGAAGGGTGGCAGACTGGCAGTGGCCAATAATTTATATTTTAATTAGCTACTCTGCAAATATTATTTTAATTTTGATAAAACTTCTGCATTCAATAGCCATAAATCACATGAAAAGGATATACATTATTTACAAACAATAAGATGGGAGGTAATTAATTCATCTGGCAGAAATCTAATTTTTCCATAATCCATATTGGGCAGATGGACAGGGAAGCTCTATTTGTAATGTGAGAAGTAGATACTTTCCACATGTAGTAGGTTGGCAGTTTCTATCTGCAGCCTGCAGTGTGTGTATTTGAACGTTGGGGCATCAATGGTGGCAAGAACTAAGAAGGTGGCATCAATGGGGGGCGGGGGCAAGAATCAAGAATTACAATTTTAAAGAAGATCCTATTCCAGATCAACATCTGCCACTGCCAGCCTGGCCACATTGCTAAATGATTCTACAATTGGTAAGTAACTAAGCAAAACAATTTTGGCTAATGAGGTATATACTACCTCTCTAAGTCTAACTTGTGGCAACTTTGACTTTACTGGGATTTTTATAACGATTTTGAGGAGGGCAATTTTTTTTAAATTGATCTCAAAATCGGCACAAAAACAACGTCTTTCGCTACAGTATTTACATTTTGGGCCCACGGTGACGTCACAGTCGGAACAACAAACGACATCCGCAAAGAGCAGCTGCGCGTGGGTCAACCTTGTATTAATTCAACCATGGCTTTATCAATCAATGTAGCGATAGCGCTGTAGCGGCAAAACCTCGTATCGCTATTTAAATATGTAGCGGGCGCTACCGCTACCGCTACATTGCCTTATATGTAGCGCCGCTACCGCTGCTGAAAATGTAGCGGCCGCTACATGTAGCGCGCTACTGCCTATCTCTGCCTATAAGTAATTGTAAAAATTACTGTATTGCTCTAGCTATGCTAGTGACACTCCTGTGTTTATGTTAGATCAGTTATGAAGTTGCTTATAAGTTCAAAAATCTGAATATAAAGCGGTCTTTTATTCCGATGATAAGAGGAGAGTCGTGTGTCATGCTTGTTAAACAGGTCCTAGCATTTGTGCTTGCCTCAGCGATGTGAGTCACACTGCTGTATAGTAGCCAACAGTTACTAATCTAGACTTCTGCTCGAATACGGAATACGTAACGGAATTACCCGTAACCCTGAAAGTCTTGAGTTTTGAACGTAAGTTGGGAAAGTCACTACTATGTCTTGCCGACACTGGAGCGTCTATTCTCAAAGAGGGGAAGAGAACGATTTCGCTAAAAGTACCGATCTTTTTAAAACTTGATTCGTCTAATTTAGTAACTCATGTTTAACGTTGAGCCTCACTCTATTAGCAAGTATGATTTTTGTTAAGAAATTCGTATATATCCTACGTAATAGTTCTTGCTTTTTAATTAATGAAGCGAGGACACTTCTAGCATGTAGGGGGACGTGCCAGGTTGTCTACCGTCACCTCTCATACTTGCGTTACCGGTTACTCATACTTGCGTTAGCGGTTATTACCGCGTCACCTGCTGTGACGCCTATATAAGCTCATCATCAAGCTGACCGCTGCCAGTGTCTCCGTGATAGTGGTAGGGGAGTCATAGGCAGGTATAGCCATCGGCTGCAGTCGTACGCTGCTGACTCTCGACGAATCCACTACGTTTATCCTATAACAAGATTTTGTATGTTTCAGTTACCACATAAAAGTGTATAAATAGCTGGTTCAATCGTGTTAGAAGGTAAGTAGTATTTTATTTATGTTTATAAAGTAGATTGTTTCTAATGCAGGCTATCAAAATTATTGCTGATGCTGTGGTGTATTCAGTGCTGTGTATTGAGATAGTTGAGTAGCATTAATCACTTACTCATTTAATGGCAGTGTAGTTCTGTGGTATTAGAACTACACTACTGGTTCCACTGTTTTATAGATAAAATCAATTTTTAAAAGTACCTACTATTGCTGTGTGCCGTGTGGAAAAAACTACTGAAATGTTAATTGATAGGCTATGTCGAAAATCTGTTAGAGCATGACACACGAGTTGCAACTTGCAAGAACCTAATTTAGCCTAAAGTAGTATATGAAAAAAAATTTCCTCTAATCCTAATAAAAATTATTCAGCTGAGAAAAAAGAGAAAGAATTAGAAAATTACCCTATAAATATAAGTGGAAATAATACTGAAATATGAATAAAAGTGAAGAGCTATTAATTTTTACTATTATTAAATTATGTCTCCTGAATGGACAAATTTTTGGCATTTTTTTTGGAAAACTATTTCTAGGTTTCCTATGAGCCAATTTCAAAGATTTTAGTACCTTTGGAAAACCTTTGTTGTAGGCTATCTATTTTAACTAAAATAAAACAATTTGGTTGAGACTTTGACTGCAGGTGGCTGGTGGCTGTGGTGGGTGAGGGAAACAGCTGTGACTGATAAATATGAATGGTATATATTCAACAAAAGGCGGAATTTATCAGAATAAATTCCAGCTTGAGTAAATTTTACATAGAATAAATAAATGACAAATAAAAAAATAAATAGTGAATGATCCACAGATCCAGGACTTTTCCAGGTGCCCAGGTGGTTTCATTGATGTATTCATTATATGATGGGTAAATGATGTGAAAATGATAGGTAAATGATAATAATAAATTTTTAATAATGATAATAATAAATACTGAAGTTTTACTCTTTGCAAATCCCAGTCAAGCAAGGAGATGATACAAATTTCTCAAAAACAAGATAGTGTCATCATAATTCAAGTTTTTTCCATTTGTTTCGAAACCACTGACAGTATAATTAAGCTACAGTACCAGTTGTGCAGGACTTTAAAAATTAACTGATTCTCTTGTGCTGAAGTGGAAATGGCTGTCTGGCGATGGCCATTGTGATAACATTTTTGACATTCATGTGTGATTTGTGCTTTAGCCTAAAGCCTTGCAAGCATCAAATCAATAAACATTAACATAGACTGAAGAGCCCATGGTCCCATGCCCAACATTATTGCTGCCTAAACTTCTATAAAGTGCAGAAAATCTAGTTTGTACTTGAGCATCTTAATAACTCTGCAGTCACAGCAGGTGCTGCTGAACTCACTGGCCACTGCTCAAAAAACATAAAGCAAAACATGCAAAAAATATTAATCACACCATCAGTTAATAGTGATCAGAACTAGAATTTGTAAGTTTCAATTACCACATAGAAGTATATTAATAGCTGTTTCAATCTTGTTAGATGTGTAGTAATTTATTTTTGCTTATAAAGTAGATTGTTCCTAATGAAGGCTATCAAAATTATTGCTGTGGTGTATTGAGATAGTTCTCCAAAATAATAACTTCCCCCTAGAGTCAGCACTACTATATGACACTTCTAGCTCTTATTGTCTACTATATGACACTTCTAGCTCTTATCTTATCTAGCTCCTTTAGATTTTAGGATTTTAAAAGACCATAGTTTCATATTTGACACTTCTAGCTCTTATCTTATCTAGTTCCTTTAGATTTTAGGATTTTAAAAGACCGTAGTTTCATATTTAGCGCATAACAGTGTCTACTATATGACACTTCTAGCTCTTATCTTCTGGACATTGGTAATGACAGTTTTTTTCATAACTTGGTCCCAGATTTCAACATGTTCATAAGCAATATTTAATACCTCTTAGATCTTTCTTGACATTGTAGGTTAATTGCTCTTAAGTCATCTAATTCATTCTACCATTATTTTTAAATTTGCTAAACCCACAATAAATCAAGTCTCTGAAATGTTTTTGTAGATAGTAACAATGTGAAACTTTGAAGCCTTTTTCTTACTTTAAAATTCATGGTTCATCTATAAAGCAAACAATAAAAAAATTTAAATAATTAATTTTAGTTCAGCCCATTCTCATTTTAACAATTGCTCTTCCAGAATGCATGCAAGATCATTTCCCAAATTATTCCAAAATGATTCTGACAACTAGGTTCTGTTCAGGATTTGGTTGCTCTAGAATTGAAATTATCCCATATGATGGTATTCATCTTCTAAATATTGTACTGTAGGCAAATTTTTTATTTGCTTCTTATGTTACAATTAGAACTTGAGTAGTGTTGCTGCCTGGTTCTAATAGATAATGCCCACCAGACAAATGACATTGAATTCAATGTTTAGTTGAATTAACAGTTATTTGAATATTTAAACATTTTTTGTCTGGTTGAAAACTATTGTATTGAAGTATGAGATAGTAGAATGCATGTATAAAACTGAGAGAACTGAGAAACCTGAATTAACTCCCTCCACTTTGCACTCCTCTTTTTTAATTCAATAATCATTTTTTATTTCAGAAGGGCTGAGCAGAATGAATGTACAAGCTCTCTGCAATGTGTGTCTGAACACATTCAATAGTACCAATCACAAGCCTCTACTCTTGCAGTGTGGTCATACTTATTGCCTAGCCTGCCTTAAGGACATCGAGGCTTCAGGCCAAAAACTATGTCCATCATGCAGAGAAGAATGGCGGGGCGAAGCATACGAGCTACCAATTTCCTACATGCTGATACCTGGTGCAAAAACGGCCCCTAAATCTGCTGGTGATGATACTGAAAACAAATTTGACTATAACATGTGCACCTTGCATTCTTGTGCCATAGAACACTGGTGCTGCAAGTGTCAAGTTGCCACCTGCAAGAAGTGCATTTCTGAGATGCATTTTGCTCATGGGCAGGTTGCTTTTGAAAATGTTGTTGGTCAAGAAATTGACATAGAACAAATAAAGCAATCCTTTAATGGAAACCTAGGGAACGAGTTTAAAGAAGACCTGAAAGATTCAGTCAACCTATGCAATGAAGGACTTGGATTGATTGAGTCAATGAAAGAGATTGAGACTAAGCTATTGTCATGGAAAAAACATCTCCTGGATCAAGAAAAAAATTTGTCATCTTGCATGGAGCATGCAGAAAACACAAGTCTCTCAGCATTGAAAGCAAAATTTGATGCTTTCTTGAAAATAATGACATGATGTGATTTGGAAAAAGCAAGTCTTTCATCAGAATTGAAATTGACTGTGATGAAAGTTGATGTCTTTGGTGAAGAATTTCAGGTAATTATTAATTTATCGACATTGTATTACAAGAACCTCTATTGATTTGCATTTATTTTTTATCAAATCATCTAATTGAATTTGGTGTCACTTTTAAAGTTCATCTGCAATGCTATGGGAGCAGGCACATAGATCATAAAATCTTTAAAATTTGCACATCAAAAACCAGCATTAATTTAGATCAAATACCTATTCGTTTTTTTGTGGTTTGTTTTACCTGTTTGTCCTTGAACAAAAATTATTTATATTATGTCATTGTATCTTAGGCTCTTTCCTAACATCCAGCATTGGAAGCCAATTGTTTAGTTGAAGTAGAGTTCTACTGTTACTTTTTCTTCATGACTAATACTGGTTTATAATATCTATATAGGCATTGAGAGTGAATGAACGTCTGGAAGCTGAGAAGCGACAACTGCTACCGGAAGAGTTCCAGGCATTCGCAAAAGATATTGTCATTAAAGGAGAAAGTATGAGCAAGAAAATTGTGCAAGCACAGCCACCCATTCCAACTGGTGAAAAGGCCACAGTTACAGTGGTATCCTCTGTGGAAGACCCCATCACTAGGCTGCAGGATCTTCTCTTATACTTGATGAATGGTCGCACAGTAATACACCTCCAGTTGTTGGATACTTTTTTCAATGGCAACAGCAGCAGTGCAGATGATTCCATCAGACTGAAACTTTTCTTGCACAGGAACTTTGGGTACGTGTAAAACCAGTTCTTGCTAATTTAATTTTGTCTCATATTGTTAGTGTCAATCTGAACACTGTCAATGCAAAAGTGAAGTAAAATTGCTGGCGATTGAATGCATGTCAATCACTTTATTAACATCTCTTGGTCTTGATGCATTGCAGTGAAATGTCGTGTACAATAAGCCAAAATAATTGAAATAAATTTCTCACAGGGCGCACCTAGCATCGTTCTACGGTCACCTCACGCACGCCGCTTGGGCCAAGTTTGGTGTTGTTGGACTGCCGAAGCTTGGGCTGCACCTGCAGTCTGGAGCTGACGTGGCTGATGTCAACAAGATCTTGCATGACAACTGCAGTGCTGAGAACGTTAAGCCCGGTAGGTTCAATGGCAGAGTGAATATCTTCAATTTTTTAAATGCTATCAATTTTATGAAATATGCAACTTGATTTGAAAACAATACTTGATTTATGCTACTTGACTACTTCAAAGTTCAATCCTCTACACTATCCTAGCTCATGATGGCATGTGATTCAATCAAAGGTGCTACTTAATTTCCACAAATTGACAGTTGTACAAAAAGCAATGAGTGAACTAACTGGTCACTGTTATACTGATTCTGTAGGTGGTTATTATTTTCCTACTATGTTGTTGTGTCAACCGCTGGAGAGTTAACTTGTAATCCAGTTTAACTTAGCAGTGTGCGCTGAATTGGTCAAATAATGGTGTAAGTAAAAGATTTAAAATATAAATTAAATTAATTGTTACTTAAACACATGCCCAGAATACAGGAAGCTGAATTACCTCTTGTTCAAATGCTGTCCATGAGCTGAACTTGTTCAACCATGAGCTGAACTTGTTCAACCATGAGCAGAACTAGTTCAACCATGAGCTGAACTTGTTCAACCATGAGCTGAACTTGTTCAACCATGAGATGAACTGACAGCCGACCTAAACTTCCGCTTTGAACGCTACACCCTGAATACGACCTGAAATGCTATAACCAATGACTAACCCATTGCATATTTAAAGTGCCAAAAAAAGTTCAGTGTCGTTATAAATTTCCTTCAGGTTGTGATAATTGAAAGTAATTTGCTTGCAGCTCCCGGCGAACACTCGAGTAGCGATGGAGCCTCTACTCTGGTGACCGGAGAGCCGTTCATAGCAGGTCAGTTCTTGATTGAGTTCAAAATAAATGTTTTAAAATGTACGTAAGGTTCTGTCTCCGTGAGATTTTAAGTGGAATCATTATTCGATACCTACCTTCATTGCTTGCAAGTCCCCCATTTTTACAACACTTCTCTTTAACTTCACTTCTTGTTGTTTGTTTGTTTGTTTGTCTGTCTGTCTGCTACAAATTTTATAATTGAATTTTAACACACTTCTACCTCTCCAATCGATCTGAAATTTTGCAAACTTGCGTAAAGTTGAAGGCAATGCATGAATCAATTGACAAAATAAATAATATTAAAAATTAATTTTTTTTTTCAATATTAAAAAATTAACAAATAATTTTGTCTGCTACAAATCTTATACGTATTCGATATTTAACACACTTCTACCTGTACAATTGATCTGAAATTGTGACTTGCGTAAATTCGGAGACATTGCTTTAATCAATTGACAGAATAAATAATTTTGAAAATTTAAATTTTTTATATATTAAAAAAATCGAAAAATTAATTTCTTCAATATTCGAAAATAAAATTAAAAATTCATTGTACATGTGTAACATTGGAGACACTACATTCTTTAGAAGTTTTGTCTTTAAAAAATAATTTTCAAACGGATATTATTAATTTCTGAATGACCTGTACAATTGGAAAGAGTTACATGGAAAATTTCAAAACATGGAGGTTCTTGTACCAATGGAAGGCAAAACTACATGGAAAAATGTATCAATTTCCTTCCCACCTCTGACAGCTTGCACATATTTCGATTTATGATATATGCATAAGAAAAGGTTGCTTTCCGTTAAATTTCCTAATAACCAACGCATTCACAGTCGTTTACACGGCTGAAATATTTAAATTACTTCAAAGGATCGGGGCATATATGCGAGACTTTTTTATCCCGATATATTAATAATTGTTCTCAATTGCTTGCTATTTTCATTCGAATTAAAGTAAAATTACTTGACAGATATTGCAAACAGAAGATTTCACTTTTCTACCAATGCATTTTCAAATTTTAAATGTAGTACATCATTCAACCCATGCTTGAGGGAATATTTTCATAACATTTCATAGATGCGTCGGCGCTGAAGAAATAAACCCGTAGCCTGTCACCGATTCTTGTACTTTTCGTGACATGTTCATAGAGATCTACGAACTGGATTTTGACCAGATCTTTTCAAAACTAATGCCCTTGCAGATATTGCCATCAACAAAAGCATCAATGTGAAGGATATCGTGAGGAGCCTGGAGCAGAAGACTAACAGGCTGTACCGACTTCACTTGGTGAAACTGGAAGATAGAGACTGGAAGAGGTGCAGCAGAGTGGTCAGACGTTTGCTCCAAAACCAAAAATTTGATGGAGGCGCGTGGTGAGTTATTTACGTGGTTTTGAAGCACTGTGTTCTGAAGCAGATTAGTAACAATTTCATGCTTCCGGTAGTAATTTTCACGCTATGCCTATATTTTCCACTATATATTATATTCCGATATATATTTCTCTTTACATTCACCGCTAATCCTGTAGATAGAAATGTGCGTCGAAATAAAATGTAAAAATTTACCAGAAGCAGCAGTAAGTCCCTCATTCGCATTTCATACTGTTTTACGGAAAAATAATTAATAAATTTATAATGACATTTTTACTGTGCTCTGAGCCAAGTAAAAAATGTCACTGAAGATATTAATTTGGTGCAAATTACTTAGAATGTTATTTTGTACAACACTTCTCTTTTACTTCACTTCTTGTTGTTTGTTTGTTTGTTTGTCTGTCTGTCTGTCTGCTACAAATCTTATAATCTATTTTTAACACACTTCTACCTCTCCAATCGATTTGAAATTTTGCATATTTGCGTAAAGTTAGAAACAATGCATGAATCAATTGACAAAATGAATTTTTGAAAATAATTTTTTTAAATATTAAAAAAACTGAAAAAATAATTTTGTCATCGACAAATCTTATAATTGATATTTGACACACTTTTACCTGTCCAATTGATATGAAATTTTGCACACTTGCGTAAAGTCGGAGACAATGCATGAATCAATTGACAGGATAAATAATTTTGAAAATTTCAGTTCTTTTATGTACTATTAAAATAATTTAAAAATAAATTTTTTAATAGTCGAAATTAAAATCAGAAATTCATTGTACATGTTTTACATTGGAGACACTGGATTTTTTTAAAAGTGTTGTCTTTAAAAAGTAATTTTTAAACGTATATTATTTTTCTTCAATTTTGTAATAAACGACTTTGCACGAATTTGTCCTTCTGTCATACATGTGATATCACATGAGCAAATAACGAAAAAATCGTTGACACCGGCTTTGTGTGTTATTATTGATGCACGTTCAGCTGTCATTTGCAATATCCATTTTTATTTCAAATCTTGACAACATTTCTTGTCTCAGGAACCCCGAACTTTGGATCCACGATTGCAGTGGCTTGTCAGCGGACGTCATGGCGCAAGTTCGTAGGTATTTGTGCGACTACACGACTATTGACACACTGAGAATGAATAATCATTCAATGGAGGAAGCCCAACAACAACAGATGGCTGCAAAATACCCACAATACATCACCATACATTTCAGCATTCCATCTTTTTAAAGTTTTCTGACAACCACTGGGAAATCTGAATGTTAGAAAGGACGTAAGTTTTCTACCGCTACGTTTACACTAAGATCGTTTTTTCATCTACTCCTATTTTTGATGGAGATTTTTTGTAAAACTGATAAATTTAGTTAAAGCTTAATGTTTAATATTTCGTTGGTAAACAATATTTCATACATGCCTACTAGCAGGATTTCACTCTAGCAGGTGAGACTTGTAGCTGAAATTTCGTTTTTAGCAATCTTTAGTGTTGATAAATTGTCTTGTGTGGTATCAACATTTCGGGATTGCGAAGCAGCATGAATTTTTTTAACTTGAGTTTTGGTGGATGCGTTCACACGTCTCAAACATTTGATCGAAACACGCTTTTTTTACTGTCAAGCGTTCTTTTGCGAATTAGAATGGTAGTTTGATCAACTGGATGGTTTTAGTTTGTTTCTAAGTAAAGGCATTAGCTCCTAGAATCTTAGAAATCAATCGGCAATTATTTTTTTGTGAATGAAATGGATATTATGGTGCCAATAATCAATCGATATTCGCAATTCGTGTTTCGATTACTTATTTTAAAATTTGGATTTTTGTTTTTCATTGTTCCCTTATTCATGTAGTGTAATTTTTGATTATAAGTACGCATTCAGACTGCAATCATCTTTTCATTTTTATTCTTGTTCATTTGTATTCAATTAATGATACAATGCTAGACCGTCAACTCGCAAAATTTGTCTTAACTAGCAAGTTTCATCAACTGTCACGCTGATAAGTGCAGGGTTTATTAGTTCAACCATGCATAAGTGTTTCTAAGAACAACTAGCGTCACTTCAATAGGGGCGAGATGGCAGAAGAGGCATACTCTAGCAGGTGAGACTTGTAGCTGAAATTTCGTTTTTAGCAATCTTTAGTGTTGATAAATTGTCTTGTGTGGTATCAACATTTCGGGATTGCGAAGCAGCATGAATTTTTTTAACTTGAGTTTTGGTGGATGCGTTCACACGTCTCAAACATTTGATCGAAACACGCTTTTTTTACTGTCAAGCGTTCTTTTGCGAATTAGAATGGTAGTTTGATCAACTGGATGGTTTTAGTTTGTTTCTAAGTAAAGGCATTAGCTCCTAGAATCTTAGAAATCAATCGGCAATTATTTTTTTGTGAATGAAATGGATATTATGGTGCCAATAATCAATCGATATTCGGAATTCGTGTTTCGATTACTTATTTTAAAATTTGGATTTTTGTTTTTCATTGTTCCCTTATTCATGTAGTGTAATTTTTGATTATAAGTACGCATTCAGACTGCAATCATCTTTTCATTTTTATTCTTGTTCATTTGTATTCAATTAATGATACAATGCTAGACCGTCAACTCGCAAAATTTGTCTTAACTAGCAAGTTTCATCAACTGTCACGCTGATAAGTGCAGGGTTTATTAGTTCAACCATGCATAAGTGTTTCTAAGAACAACTAGCGTCACTTCAATAGGGGCGAGATGGCAGAAGAGGCAGGCGAACAAGTGATGCTCATTAATTATTACTCCTTGGGAAACTGCGATGAAGTGAAGCCGCGGTAGGTGAAGCGCGGTATAGCGAAGAATTACTGTAGTTGCCATTAAATGGTTGTGTGCTGTGACGTCATGGATTGTAGACGAGCGATCTTCTCGATATGGTTGAGAGTGCGGCATATGGTTCAAAATGAACGGGTCCAGAGCAAATCGTTCAACTCGAGCTACTGGCAGAAGATGCAAGCGAACATGTCCCGATGGCTGAACCTCCGCTGCAGTCACGGGTATACTTCTTGATATATTCTGCAAGTGACATGAAGAACACGATGAGTAGCGAGCTTTATTAAATTATACTTGATTAGGACGATGTCTAATGTATGTTAGAGAGCACTGGAAATTCAAAAAAATCCTACCGGCTATTATATCATTGACTCCTGTCTGTTTAGGTAAATTCAAAGTTTAAACCCGATTCAGTTTTAAGCGTATTTACTCTAGAAAATTCCATTTTACTCGGAAAGGATCAATTAATTAACAAATAGCATCCGACAGCCGTAACGCGATCAGGATAACTAACTTCAGGCTATGGAGTGAGGTTCAAAAGCAATTATTTCAACTGAAGCGAGGAGAAAGTAGCCAATAATAGTACTGTAAATTTTTACATGGATGTAGGATGTAGCCCTACCACTGCTCGGAAATAAGGCAGTCTCCTGTATACTGGATCATTTTAATCGAGAAGAGGTATGAAAAATGGAAGTCCATACAAACTTACAAATTCATTAATGCTCTAAAGAAACAGCAGAAAAGTAACATAACCCCCCCCACCCCCCGATTAGATACTGGGGAAAGTAATGCAAGAATAAACCGAACTCTGTGATGAAGTGAGAGAAATTATTCAAAATCGGACCTGATTTTGCTACATTGTATGTCCCATTGAATCTATTTGGAAAGAAGATGTTTAAAAATATTCCGATACATGGATATCAACATCGGGACTTTTTACGTTTGGAAGTTAGATGACTCTAATATTAGTTCCAGAATGTTCAGCTTGAATTGGTGGATTTTATCTAGGATTTGATTTGGAGAGGATTTTGACGGTGAAGTGATCGATTAAAAGTAGAAATAAATGATGAATCATGTTTGTAATTGAAAATTGAGTTCCCAACTGATAGAAAAAAATTATTTCAAATTATTTCTTTAACTGGAAAAGGTGCCCGTCATCAAAGGCTCTCTAAATAGGTGGGATGAAAGTGGCAGCGGCGCCATTTACGAGATATCAATTCTGGGTCAAAATCTAATGTAAGTGATCAAATAAAGGATAAAAAAACATCAAGCACTCGATAAGATAAGAAAGCCCGTCTGGCTCCCTTATTTTTATAACCACTTTGTATTCTCGAAATTGCAAAACCCGTTCCACCAATAAATAATCTGCACGCTCAGCATAGTCACCTATGGTCAAGTCCAGCAGTAGGGAGTAGCTCGAGTCTTCGGGAGGTGGAGACTGTCGGACTAATTGCTTGTAGTTCCTTCCAGTAGCTGGCCACTTCCATGCAAGACACGATGAGGACAAGCTTGTCTCTCGTACCGATTGTTTTCAACGACCGCACAAAGTTGCCTTGCACTTTAAAATCCAATTACAGGAGATACAACATCTACGGAGTCAATGCCTGCCTTGATTTGATTGCATAAAGTCGTTCTTACTTTCCAAAAACACTGAACACACATTTATGTCAAATTCCAGCGGGTGATATTTGTAGCGATGAACCTTTTGTAGACGAACTCTGTAACATCTGACACCATGGCAAGACGATGGCACCTGTTCATAGGTGTAATTACAGCCTTGATCCTGTCATTTGACAAATAACTTTTGTGCCTCCTTTCTGCTAGCTTTTAACCCTCTACCGCCTAATATGAGTTACAGGAGCAATACTATCTAAATTCTAAGGCTACTTCCCAAAAAGCATACGTTCCAGTGAGCGCAAAATGACTTGTACTGATGGTTGCCGCCACGTACGACAACTTTGAAATGTTCTCTGTTGCGTACAAACGTCCTCAGGTTGCTCCACTCAATAGTTTACGTATAATTTAAGTTGAAAGTTATGTTCCCGAAGCGTGACATACGGCGGTAGAGGGTTAAGCACGATAGAGCGCATGGTACGTCTACTGTACTGGCGTCGACTGTACTGTAGAGCGCATGGGTACTGGCGTCGACAGTGTCCTTGATGGCCAAATTTAGGGTATGGTCCAAACAAAGCAAAGACTCGTCAATAAAGATGCACTCATGAATTACAGCTACCCAGCCTTTCAAACACGTTTGCTGGCTGGAGATAAGCCTTTTCACGCGTCCGCAATATAAATCAAGTGAACTTTCAGTTCACTTTAGTGTCAGATTACTTCAACGACCTATGTCCCTAGGAACTAGTACAGTAATTTGCCAAGCGCAAGACGATTGGACACAGGTCGCCAAAAAAACGTCCACACTGCGCTTAGTGGTCAAGTCGAGGCGCTGAGGCTGGTTCCCAGCAGTGATCGCTTCGACTTTACAGAGAATGAGTAACTTCACAGGCGCAGACATCATTTTTGTCAACCGTACAAAAGTAGGACATATTTATGGAGCCTCTCGGGACTGTCGTCGAACGACAGACAGTGTCAGATCTGACCATCATACCCCCTGCTAACAAGAGAGCCATAGGTACGATGCCAAACGCCGACAGAACGAGAATATTTTTATCCCTCGCAGGCTTTATCTAACCTACCTGCAAGTATTCCGTCCAAGAAAATGAACGGACATCCGATTCGTAGAATCTTGGGCTTCATTGCAACTTTACAAATAAAACCCATTCCAATGAAACAGTTATCAAAGTTGATGAAGACTCGGAAAATAAATCAAATTTTCCGCATGGTTTTGGATTTACCCGGTTTTAATTTATCATTAGAAGGTTCTATTTCAGCATTCAGTCCTACATCACGGATTGATGCATTATAATATTAGAGTTCGACTTCTGAGCATCCTAAATCAGCACATCTTTCCATGTTCTCGCTCAAACAGTGCGTCGATGAAAACATTCTAGTATTTTAGCAACATTCTCAATAATGAGGCCATGTACTGTAAACGATCCTACGTACAGCATAGCCAGTTATCTTCGTACACACGCCACAATGAGACCTTATTAGATTTAGTGAGATAATGAAATATCGAGATGGACTCGTGTACATAAAATGGGTCCATAATTATGGAGCACATTCCAAGTTAGCGATAAAATGGATCGCAAGTTAGCGATAATTCTGCCGTTAACCATGCGCCAATCAAGCGTCCCTGGAGCCTGGCTAAGGATGATTCCAGTCATGGCCAGTCAGAGCACCGAGCACTTAATTAATTCAGTGGTTACCAAAGTGGGCGATATCGCCCCCCGGAGGCAGTGGAAAGATCTGGGGGGCGGTGAGGAAGAAAGGGTCAGTAGGGGGGCGGCAGTCCGTGAAGTCGAAGTCAGAAGTTCGAACGTTTGTTTGACGATTTGTACAAAACACATGCAGAACATGACTCCGTCTCGAATAAATTTTCACGAGCTAAAAATCACCGTTTCGTAGTTAGAAATTTATATTCAAAATTTCGTTCGAATCTGTTCAGTAGTTTGTAAGAACTTCTTTGATCACTGCGAATTTCGACCCGTATCGCCATATAACCCGTATATAATGAAGGTGAAATTTATAAATTTTTCACGAGTTCAACATCACCGTTAGGTCATAATGAATAAGTGTTCCAAGTTTTATCTAGCTGCGTTCATTAGTTTGCGAGATATTCCTTGGTCACTGAATTTTGAGATTGGCCGTGAGACCGGCTGCAAGACCGGCCACGAGTCCGGCCGAAAATTTGTCAGAGCCGTCTTGAATTTCTAGTGTTGAAACAGTTAAAATTAAAAAATATATATATTGGTTGACTAAATGGGGTTCTATTTGTGAAATACACATTTGTGTTTAACTTTTCACTTTCAAAATTGAAGCATGCTAAATATGAAGAAAGAGGCGTTTGTTTTTATATGTGTCTGTCGGGGGGGGGGGGGGGTCTGTCTGTGACTTCGGATTCATGTAGATAATGCTCATCCGTTCCGTTTAGGAGAGAATTTTGACACGTGCGTTCTGAATGCAGAAAAGACGGATCCTTTCACCTAGTTAATAAATTTCTCCTAAAATCCAGACCAGTTCCAAAAGTAATTTGAGAAGCGAAAATTCTGTAAAATTACCAAGAACACTAATTGAATAATTCTTAGTAACACTCTTGTCACTCGCCGGAGAAAACGACGTCGTTCCTACAAGGGTTGGCAGAACGTGAAGACGTGGAGCCAAATAAGTTTCAATGTTTATATTTGCGGCATAGTTTCCTGCGTATTCAAGCAGAGCTTAAAGTTGTCTGGAGTCGATATACATGTCCGGAGCGGACAAGTGAGATCGAAGTGCGACTTTTTTTCTAAATTCCAATATAATTATTAAATAGCATATTCATAGAGTTCAAATATGACCGTTGAACTCTTGATCAATGCATTTCGATGAAGTTCGGATGATACATAATCAGCGGATATTCCTGTGAAGCTTATTAACTCTCAAGTTTCTTCCCATTTTTCCTGTAACAAGGAAAAATGTGTCTGTGAACAAGGCACGAAAAGGAAAAGAATCGGCGACAGGCCACATCAGGCCTGCACTTCAGCGCCGAGATCAATATGTTATGTTAAGTTATGTTACTTTATGTTATGTCATCAGTTTTCATGGTCCTATCAAGATACGAGTACAAAATGTTCGAATCTCGTTGCGGACAGGTAGCAATAAATAAATTTTTTTATTTAAGTTTTTATCCATCACCTCTATTCTTGCATGCGAAAGGAAAGTCGCCCTCTGCAAAACTTGAAAATTCGTTGAAGGTCCAGTCACACCATAATTTAAACGATGCTAGCGGACGCTTGTGTTAGTTGCAGGCAAAAAGGACGTCTCCCCAGCGAAAGTCAAACGTATGTTGAGTCCAGAATCTAAACTGATCTTGAAGAATTGGTTTGCAGAGAAGTGTAAACGTTATCCTAGCAGTGAAGAAGAGAAAGATCTTGAGAAGGAGACGGGGCTCATCACGGGTTACATCGAAGTTACGATTACTTATATATGCAGGAATGTGAATATCCTAACAAATTCGCAAGTGTACCATCAAAATAAAGTCGTAATATTCCTAATCATCTAACAAACAAGACGAAATAAAAAAAATAGATCCGATGTACAATTTAGATACAAAATCTCTTGTGAAGGTTGCCTTGCTCCAGGTGGATGGCCGGTTAATTAACGCGCGTCGGCGGTAGCTGGTGCACGAGTCTCCATTTGGGCCTCGTTTATCGGCTTGGATAGTTGATCGATAAATAAGGCCCAAATTGGACAGTTGGTCAGGGGCCAACATTGAAATACTTACTATTTGTTATTGCCGTTCGCTAATGTAAGTATAAGCTGCGAAAATATTTTTATACGCATCTTAGCGGAGACGTTTTTTCTCGACGAAAACCTCTAATACACAAGGCAGAGATTGTGCCAAGAGTCTTCAGGCTTACTGAAGAAGCGGCTCAATGACCATCGCTCCAATGCGTTCCGCAACGGGGTGACCATAGCCCTCGCGAGCGATGTCACGGCGGTGCATGTAAACAATACGAGATTTTTCTTACAAATTTACGCGTACTGCTCGGTGTAAAGTCTCATACAGATCTACAATATACTTCTCTTCAGGTGAATAAATGGTTTATTACTTATCGGCGCTAAGTACGGCCAAGAACGCATCTATCTATATACGGTATCAGACGCTCACGTCGCCAAAACTTGATCGCTACCTCGTCATTCAAAGAGTTTGCCAGCACATTTTCGTTCGTGAATATATCATTGATAAAACTCGAGACGCTCTCAAATATCACAATCTCGACAGGAAGAATCGTCGAGCACTGAATCTTAACCTATAATGAATAGATATTTACAATATACGTCCGGTCGTAAGCCCCACTTTGCGAATAAGAATGCGTGGACCTGTTGATTAGTGCATCGGGATATCCCTTGTCAGAAAAACGCAATTCCCTCCGTCATGATCTACTTTGTAGGAGCTTCAGCAATGTCAGTGCATTGATTCTGAACTTTGAATGTGCAAGAACCCCGAACTGTTCAGCGAACAGCTGATGGCCTTCTACTGCCAATCAATATGTGCGTAATTACAAACCCCGTTATTTTCCGTGTAAAGTGGAGGACCCACTTATTATAGTTTAATTGCTTTATTTTTTGTTGATCAAGCAGCTCACTTCTATTCCTTCTCCTCCGTCATGTTCAATTACTAGCCGTTCAGGAATCTTTTGTACCAAATTTTCAAGTTTGAGGATGCTGCGCTACGAGGACTTACGGAGTCATAGACGAATATAGCTAATGCGGGGCGTTTCTAATTCTCAGCTGGAGTAGCTATCTACTGTGCAATCTCGAGAAAGCCTGAACTTTCTTCCTCGCATACGAAGCAGAACCAGAATTTCACCGTTACTGCCGGACACCACACGTTGATCAAGCAGCAACCCAGTATAATCTGAAGTCAGCGCACGAGCCTTACGGAAACCAATACGCATCGCGGCCTTCATCGTGTGGCCTCTAGATGCTAACTGATAGTGTGCTAAATCTTCTCTCAACAATTAAACCTGCAAAAAACCGACACGAAACGAGGACAGGCAAGTCTTTTTCGCCTTGTACAGTCAAACTCTGAAGAACTTCAGCGAGATAAACGAGCTTGACGAGCTGTTACACAGGGAATGTTGTAGCCGATATCAGTAGCGGCGAATATTACCCAGTTGTAATTTTCACGCTAATTGCTTCACTCAGTGGAAAGTAACAAGAGACGATGCAAATAATTCGAGTTTTCTGCGCAAGCCCACGGCTGGTAGAGCTGAATCAGCCGTAGTGTACCTGCTGCTCCGTAAATTCACAGAATGAAATCGATGATGCTCTCAAGTTCTCTCCGTCCTACTCAGTTTTTCACCAACACTTTACTGATAAAATTTACCTCATCACGAAGGTGAGGTGAATGACACGAGAAACTGGAAATTATATAGATTTATATCAACAAACAAAATAATACGTGAAGTGCATTAACAAACAAAAAATGCCGCTTGCATATAATTATCTATATCTTAACTTTCTAATAAATTATTAGCAACACGGATTCATGTATCTCAATCAATTGTTCTCTGACTAGAACATCACATCGTCCTGTCACTTGAATTGGGCACAATAACAGATGTTGCCTTGACAGCACTTGCTTTGTGTTGGTCGATTTTCTTTGCGATGTTGTATGCAATTGACCTATGGCTGCTGTTGGCGGGTGGGTTGATAGCACGCTCGGTTGCAAGATCAGAAGAATCGGTATGCTGTATTTTCCCTTAAATGGTTGCGTGCTGTGATATAATTGGGTTGATACGATTGTGATACGATCATTTCGTTGGGGATGAGATGTCTTACCGACGGACGTTCATTTCGATGTGGTCGGGAGACGCCAGATGGTTCAAAGTGGTCCAGAACGTCCACTCTTCACTCAAGGCGAGCTTGTGCCAGAAGAAGCAGGCGAGCCAGTCCCAGCGGTGGAGCCTCCACTGCTGTCACTGGCGTACTCCTGGAAACGCTCTGCAAGTGACAAGAACTGCGTTAGGCTTCTGTAAACTCTAATTAGGACGAACTCAAAATACATCAGAATGAACTGGGAATTCAAGGCATTCTAACAGCTATTTTATCAGTGCCGTTTAACAGAATACAAATTGTATTTACAGGCAGGTAGATTTAAAGTTAAATCTTTAATCAGTTGATACCAATGTGATACTGGTGAAAGTAAGGCAATCCATCAACTTGATAACTAAGACAAATGTTTCAATAGTAGACGATAAGACTAAGGTCTCAAAATTGGAACATGATGGTGGAACATTGAATGTCTGGGACTATTGATCACATATTAAGAAAAAAAATGTTATGGATCAGAATATTCTGATCTATTGACATCTATATTGGGACCTTTATGCTTGTAAGTTGGATGACTGAAATTAGTTCTAAACTTCCAGATTGTTCCATTTTAATTTGTGACCATTAATAGTTTTTGATCAGAGGTAATTTTTGACTATAATAGCCATAATGAAAGAATAAATGTAAAATTATGATAGTCGTGTCGTAGAGACTTCAGTTGACGGCTGCTGGGAAAATAATTATTTAGAATAATTTGGTAATCTAGAAAAAGAGTCTGGTAACATTTGTGCTCTAAATAGACGAGATGCAGCTGGCAGCGTCATAATTTACGAGTCACCCATACTGTATCAATTTATAAAGGAAAAATATGAGGATAGTATCACAAAATTAAACCAAGCCCTCAAAAATGGATACCCTATGTCTTCCTTAGTTTCACAACCCCTGCAAATTCTCGACACTACAAGTTACCTATGGTCAAGTCCGCCAGCAGGAATAAGTTGCGCGTGTCTTCGGGAGGTGGAAGCAGTTGGACCACATTGCTAGAGCTTCCTTCCAGGAGATGCCCTCTTCTATGCACGACACGATGCGTTCGAGCGCGTGAATGATTTTCACTGACCGCTCGACGTTGCCTGGTGGTTGTGCTGGTGGTGTCACTTGGTGGAGAGCCATCTTCTAGTTGCAGCTTGGGTAATGTTCTCCGCCGAGCGTTGACAAACCACTGATTTAGCTGAAAATATAAAGCCATTTTAGGTATGAATGGGCGATTTTACGCGATGCGACAGAACCAACATTTGATATGGTGTCAAAGGTCGGCTCTTTTCATCAGGACACAACCAAAATTGTAGGATGCTGAATTGTTTCCTATTAACTACATATTAATAAATAGTTCGAGAATATACAAGTTATATACATGAAACTATATATTTTTATATTGCTTATGAGAATACTATGTATATTTAATTCGAACGAGAGTCGTTTATTATCCTAAGACGTCAAACTTCATCATTTACAGAGTTAGGGTACGCACACAGTGAAAGCAGGTTTGCCCGCGCGGGCAACCTGCTCCAACCTGCCACAAGAATGAACATAGGATAATAATGTAAGTGTTCACAGTGAAAACCTGTACGAATAGGCTTCTGTATTCTATGGTTTCAGGCGCCAGCCTGAGCAGGTAACCAGCACGCTGGCAACCTGCTTTCACTGTGTGCGTACCCTAAGACAGAGCAACCTAATTCAATACCTGCGCAAGAGTGACCCCTGCCTCGCAAACAAGGGCATCTTTCTCCTCCTCCGTGGGGTACGGATGGTGGCGATGCTCCGTCAGCCACGCCGTCAGGACGGCCTTGGCCTCTGGCCGGAGGTTTGGCCTTCTTTTTCTGGCGACGCTGGCGCCCTCGGGTGCCTGCGTTGGCTGGACAATGTTGCGTGTAGCGGCTGCGAAAATCAGAAAACTTCAGTGTATAGAACAATATAATCTTTTTTTGTATACAAGACTTGAATGCTGATATGCCACAAATATTTCTGTATCACGGCCAATTTAGACAACAATTAACAAACTGATATTGACTAAGAAAAGGTTTCTATGCGTGCTGGACTTTCAAAGGGTGCTGAAAATATTGACGTTTCAGCTATAAAGAATACACTTTGGTTAAATCTCTCCAAAAAATTTTATTCGGTGCGATTTTTAAAAAATGAAGATTTCGGAGAGTCTGGCAATTAGGACATTTATTCGACCAAAATTAAATTCTGAACTTGCTTTGTATTCACCGAATTCATTCTGAAACATACATGTGCCACTTAAACCATAAAAAACTTACCACTTCTAAAATTCAATAAAACTGAGGCCGCGCCTTCAGGAGATAAATCTTCAAAGTCCTGCGAGCCGACGGCCAGATATTTGTGATGAGGCATTGTTTAATGTTGCGATGAGAAGTGAGCAATACGATGGAGATATTGCAAATTTATTCCAGAAGTCGATCGAGACCTGAGAAGGTTAGAATAGGGAATTAGCATACGTTTCTTGACGGATTGTGATGCAGCAGGTGTTGTAAATAATAATAGGACGAGGATGCCGGGAGTTTTTTGGTAAACAGTTAACTGAAATATTTATGATAGGAGATATACTGGAATGTGGTTATAGACCTGGACTAAAGATTGCATGACACTAAATCCGTAACATCGTCGGCTTTTAAATTCTTGTTAATGGCAACACTTAATGGTGACTTACTTAAATCACAATTTGGTACGGTTTTCGTGAAATTTTCAAATATTATTGAACTAATTACGATGTTATTTACAGTTCACGAAATACTTGATCAAAAATCTTGCTGATCTGTGTCATGAATTGTCAGAGGAAAAATTGTATTTGGCGATCGTACAAAGTCAATGAAACTTAAATAAAGTTACTAACAGCGTATGTGGTAAAGTTTTGTCGCTAAGCATCAGAAATGCTATCCATTCAAATAAATCATTAGAAGTAGCGGCGTCAAACTATACACCAATAAGAGTTAGAATAAGATGAAGAAATTTAGTGAAATAATACTTCACTAACTAAAGTTCTAATAACTTTTTCAGTAGAAGAATGCTCTGTTCACTGTCACATATCTTTTGAAAAATTTCCACTGAATACGTACACGGTTTTCAATTCACGACCTATTAACTTATTAACTTATCTTCCGTCCGTAAGGCCAGTCTAGTCAAGAAAAGTACAAGAATCGGCGACAGGCCTATTTATTTAATACCGAAGATACTATACTATACTAACTAGATATGCAAAATCACGGCAAACCTTGCTTGATGATAATTTATACAGACGTTAAATCTACAAATCTCAAGCACTCTTCACGCCACGCACATGGGCACCCAAACACGTGCGCTTCGCGTCTGCGTGCTAAGCCTAACGATGCTCACCTGAAGGCAGCTAGCTTGGACTGTAGCCTGGTCCACAACCTACTGGCTTATATAGGCGTCGTCAGACAAAGAGCAGCCAGTATGACATTCTACTTGTGTTGAGATCTCCAGGCATTCAATGCCTGCTGAATATTTTGTAGCAAATTTATTCGTGAACTAAATGAATGATATTTGTCATTGGGGTAAATGAGAAGAACATAGCTATCAAGAAATGAACAGCGAAGTCATATAATTCGCCAATTATTATCAGACATACCGCGACTCAACCAAATAATCAAAGAACAAAGATGAATTAAATGACGACAAAATAAAACCAATGAAAATTTAGCCTTCATCGGCGTTACTTTTAGTAAAGTTGATCACAATCATTATGGTATCTTAAGATTATTCGTAATAAATGTTTATGTAACATTGTAACCTTGACACTAAAGGGCTAAATTCATGTAGAGCGTTTTCAACCGTTCAAACTGTAACCTTCCTTGCTTCCGTTAATTAGTCATAATCACTCATTTTACCTGTTATTCTTGTGCTACAATAAATAACTTATATGAACTGAGTTTGAGCGGCGGAAGCATAGAGATTTTTCTGCATTAACTGTCGGACAACACGTGTGGCTCAAAGTTACTAAATCGCAATCCAGGAAAATTTTGTAAAAGCTTTCCTCCAGGAGCTTCTTCCGGCGGACCTTTTTGATAGAGCGAGCTTACATAGGAACACGTGAAGGCAATAGGACATTCAGACCGTTCTTAATTGACAAAACTTATAAACTCCTTAAAGGGACCTTCTGGGGAAAAAATTGTGTTTTCACTTACCGACCTTTCTTAAACTTCATACACATATAAGGCAAAATACTAATGCAGGAACTTATGGTTTGTGTGAATTTTTTGAAAAAAATGAAAGAAAACGCGGAACACGTATGAAACGGGAAAAAGGTGGACTTATAAATCTTTCGTATTTTTTTTTATTTACGTCGAGAACGAGAAACTTATCATTCGATTTATAATGTAAATATCTAGCGACTCTATTTATAGAAGCACATTTTAAAATTTTTCTAGAGGACTTTTTCCATCTTCCCCACCCCTTTCCCAACATTTCCCTATGTTTTTACTATATATAATGCAAACAATAGAAAAATCAGAAAAAAGGCTTGTACAGTCACTAGATATTCTCTTTACAAATCGAATGATATGTCACTCAAAGTTGTACTTCGAAAGTCATAGGAAGAGATAGATTTTTAAGATGGCGTATTTTGGAAATTTGAATTGTTGAAGAGAGACAAATAAGTAAAATTGATTGAACAAAAAGTAAATGCTAAAAAAATTTGATCCATACTGCATCCTTAGCTTTCCCCAGATACTTTTATTGAGGGTACCATCTTGCTTATTGTTGTTCAGGTTAACGCAATCTATGAATAAAATTTCTCTTAGACGTTTTTTAAAAGAATTATCATTAAATTGTCATTTTATACAAATCAGAAACTGCCTCACGTCAAAACAAAAGCACGCACATGCATACGGTTTATTGCGTTAGACGCGCCTTGAAAATTACGCTATATTGATAATGTTGCTCAGATTGAATCGCTGTAAGGTATGTACAGCATTAGGGTGAGTGTTGTTGTAAAATTTAATTACCATGGAGTACTATCAGATGAGCTTGCAGTCAGCACCTGAGGGCATACCTGCAACGCCTCAGAGGGCAAGACGAGGACAACGAAGAGACGGCGGCAAGGCTATAGATTGGTCAGGTGAGATACTGGGAGGCGAGATTGAATTTAAAATGCGAGATACTGGAGACCTTCTATTATACCTTCAGTTCATTTAGAGAAGAGAATGATTATTACATCGGTGTCAGGAAGAATTGTGGTGATCATAACTCGCTGTGAGCAAATTTAGCAAATATTCTGAAACCTTCTTGCGTGCTTGTTTTATAGACTCGACAATAGGGCAATTTGCTAAAAAATTGTAAAAAGATAAATAATTATTTAAAAGCAAAAAGAATGACAAGGAAATTTACCAAGTTTTCCCATTCTTTAACTTTTTAAAACTGAACTGATGTTAGGGCTCGTCTCTGAAACGCTTTCAGTGAAGATATGCTGAATTTTTATAGCATTACTTTGCTTTTCAATTGTTGGTTAACGTTTACACGTTCACTAACCACGCCACTATTCTGGCTGTGAATACATTAAAAAGAATTATAACAAATTGCCCTATTGTCGAGTCTAAAATATCTTTCAGCCGGGTTCAAAAGAAAACATTAGTTTCTTTTAATCGTTCGAGAGCTTTTTTAATGGAAACTAAATCTAATTCCAGGTGTATCATACCCACGTGACATATTTTTCTAATTAGAAGATTGACTGCGCCAGTGTGATACCTAATGGCGCTCAAGAGATTATCTTGTGTAATATTCATACAATTATTGATTAGTTTGGTCGTGGCAAATGTGAATTATGAAACATTTGACGTCAGAACTAAACAAATTCATCCGGAATTTTCTCTCTACATCAATTTCAACTTCAACGCATCCCCAGTAGGTATCCTGATTTGTTAAATCACTGCGATTCCTTGCATCCACTGCATGATATTTTTACAAAATATCTGAATGATTAGGGTGTGAATTTAAGCAGGATAATGCATGGATTTGCAATAACTACAGTAAGAACAGTAAAGAATATAATGCTGTACTTCAGCTACATAATTGTAAATGCAAAATAATCTGAACATAGATAGGGCACAATTCTGATCAATGTATCTCAAATAAAAATTGATAAAAATAGACAACTTTATTTTTTATAATAGCATGTTTGACTGTGACTCCTAACACGATTTTTTTAGATCGCGACAACACTTCCATCTGAAACTCAGAGCGTAATGTCGTAGAGGCAAGCAAAAAATTATTTAGCGCTACGCATAGTTTACTGTGCTGTCGCCCGTTTAGCATTAAACACAACTAAATTTATTGAAATTGCTATACCTTTTTTCCACACTAAGCAGCAAATGTATGTGACAGCAATTAGTGTAGAGAAAAGGTCAACACTTCTCCCAGATCAGCTGTAGACAAGAAGCGAGCCATGCACGATGTGTCAATGCGCGGCAATCTGATTTCTACTGAAATCTCGCAGAGCAGCGACCATGTCATCTCCATGAGCTTCCCCAGGTTCACTTGAACTGAAGCATTTCTGAGTAAATTCCGCTAGAACTCGCAATATAGTATATACAATGATGTTTTATTCCAGCCACAATTGTATTCTACAATTGTGAAAAAAGACGCTAGACCACTCGCACATACCAGCTCGGAGAATAATTTTCGTATAGATAGAAATTATTCTTGACTACTTTTACAAAATATGAACTTATGATTACAGAAAAGTTATGATCTCGAATGACAGATGGACGAAGAATGGACTACTATTTCTACGACTTTTAATTTAATTAATTAAGAGGAGCTTCTGGGTAAAAAAAATTGGAAAATTTGTCTTTCCGTTTGTTGGGCTCATTTTGTAGGGCGTCACATAATAATTTTTATAATATCGTCAAAAAATCGTCCAATAGTAAATTTACGTGACATATTTTCATTTCCCTGCACAGTTTGCTGCCCTTGCGTCTCGCTAAAAGAAGCCTAAATCAGCAAAATGGATTCGCACCTCCAGAACGCCGCCCAGGCACCTCAGACAGGTGAGTGGAGTTTGCGCTTCATGGCCGAGGCAAATAATTTGACGGCCAATCTCAACTGTGACAAGTTCATCTGTGTTGGTAACATTTTTCTCTGATGCAAACGAAATGGTGAAATTTTCACGAATTCATTTCGCATATGAAAAAATTTGACTTTTTCAATCATAATGTATTTTGTTACTACATACGGTGATTTAAAAATAGTAAAATCATCATTTATTTCTTCAAGATATTTATACAAAAATTCATAGTTTCAATCTGCAGTAGTCTCAATATTCTTAGCTTTTATTTACCTCATGAATTTTATCCCATTGTTCTGATCAACTTGAACAAATTTGTTTGTTTCTGAGAAGAAGCAGCAAGATCTTGCTCTGTGTTTTCCGAAATATTTTCAAAATAAAGTAAAGTTGCGATTATTTTATCAGTTATCAAGAGACTAGTAAAATAATAACTGATAGCAAAATTTCGTGTTTGAGAGGAAGCAATTGTGAACGATGAAAATCGTTCAATACATTTTGTTAGTTTTTATTTCAATTTTTTTAGAGTTAGGATAAACTTATATTTAATACTGATACGGAATGTTCAGTGACACCGGCTACGTGACATGTGCTTCCGACCTTTTAAAAAGAGTTTCGTCTCAGAGCGAAGTGTAGAGGTTGCTGTCGTTTGGCTGTAAATTTTTCGGACATGCCAGCCGATCAGTACATTTATCACTTCAGCATTCATAGCGGCAAGTATACATTGCGATCCTGATTCGGCTGTAAGTCTCATAGTGAGCCCTCTCCTTGACTGGGTTGAAAGTTGTCGCTCCCTTCTGTATCTCTTTATGAATGCAACCATATTATGTGCCTTCTTTAAAGCCTCATAATTTATGTGAAATACAAATCTTTTTAAACCACAATGGTGAACTGGAAGATATAGCCTTTTGTTGTCAATCGTGTAAAGTTATTCCTTCACTAAGTTAGCGACTGACGTTCCTGCTTAGGTGGGCATCATAGAGGGCAAGGACGTGAACGTTCAGTCACACTAAAATCGAAACTATACTAACGGGCACTTTTGTTTGCTGCAGGCAAAAGGGAAGTCGCCGCTGCGAAGACTGGACGCTCGTTGAGTCCAGAAGTATAGTTAATCTTAAATAATATACGTTTAAAAATTACTTTTTGAAGACAACACTTCTAAAGAATCCAGTGTTTCCAATGTTACAGATGTGCAATGAATTTCTAACTTTATTTTCGAATATTAAAAAAATTAATTTTTCAATTTTTTTTAATCCATAAAATTTTTTTCAAAATTATTTATTATTATTAATCAATCAACATAAGCTTAATTGACGTATTTTCTGGTGAAAATTGAATTT